CCTTTCTGAAATGCGTCGATTTTTACAAAGCTCATCGGTCTGAAAAGCGAGGTGTGCTGTGATTGGCCAGCTATCCAGTGTGTTGTGATTGGCCGAATACCTCAAGCGTGTGGCGGAAATGTTACGTCCCTTACCATATTGTGATGCCCTGTCCGGCCGGAGCGACGATTTAAAACCCATAAAACCCATTACAAACGAGGCATTTGTTGCATCCAGTGGGGACATAATTACGGATTATAACTGTCTTTTTACGCGTTGCATCGCGCCGCGTAAACATAAAACCATGTCTGCATTTGTGATCGGAGAAATGAGAAAACGTATTTACGTGAGTCAGAACTGCCGGCATTTTAGTCTAACGTTACTCTTCCAGGATCAGGAAACAGTCCTCCATAAAATGCGCTGCACACATCTGAATATTTGGGTTGAAGTGTTCTGGAACAGTGTTGTAAATACAACTTAACCACTGATTTCTAGTTGTGTCCTCTTTTGGAAGACCAAACAAAGTAGTTCACAACGAAACACACGGCGAGCTAGAGTGAGGAACAGCCGGCGGGCTAGAGAACGGCGCGGCTAGCGGATTCGACGAAGGAGCGTCCGGCGGGCTTGCCGCAACCACATGTGACGACCCCGGGCTGGACTCCGCTTCGTCCACAGTGAAAGCCGATCCGCCGATCCACAGCGCAAAGTTGTAGTATTTCCTCAGCAACCAGCACGGATCAGCTCCAGGCATGACGAAGCAGATATCGTCCTCTTTTGGAAGACCAAACAAAGTAGTTTCGCTTTCACAATAAAACACACAGCGTCTCGACATGGCGGCAGCAACAATACTACAGCAAGAATAAAAGTTACACCTTCTTTCTTTGCGTGAACATTTGGGCGGCGTTATGCAAATATTACCACATCGTGACGTAGACATATGGGGTCGTGTTAGAACGAGCCGTTTTAGGTAGGTGTGGTTGACTCTTAACTTTTATAAAGAATATCTCTTTGGGTTTGAGACTTTAGTCTTTGCAACTTTACAGATCTTCTTTATGCACCAAGAGCTTGTAACACTTCAAAGAGAAAGGAAAAATTTAAATCGCATCATATGTATGTGTGTTGACTTAAAGGAGCGCTGCAGATCAATAATGTTTGACATCAAAGTCAAGGCGGGGCCCTAGGCGACCGCCTGTACCGCCTGTTGGGATGGGCCGGCACTGGTTGCAAGACTATACTCACAATCCTGCATAATCTTGTCTCGTCATTAATTTGTCTAATTAACAATTGATTCTGGTGTCCAAATGCTTTGACCATCTGCTTTCCAAACTAAAGGTATTGCTGGAAACCAGAATAAAAGAGTGACACATACTCATCCAATGCCTCGTGCACTTCCTCCACACTCTCTTCTGTATCTTTCTGTATCAGCTTCACCTCTACTGTGCCACTGCTGAAAAGGATCTCTGATTTTGGGGTGGCAGAAGTGTCTTCTTTTCCTTCGTTTTTCTGTGCAGCACTAGCTTCCTTTTCCTGTTTCTCCTTTTCGTCTTCTGTTTGTTGAGGTCCAGTTTCTGCATCTTTTACTTCTTTAACTGCTTCCACTAATTTTGCCTCGCTCAACACAGGAATCTCACCTATGACCTCAGTGTCTTCTAGAGCAACTGAATCACTGTAAACAAGAAATGATAGAGTGGTTATTGGGCAATTCTGACAAGGAGGACAATCTGGTATCTCAAAATTTTTAGTCATGTTTTCTAATTATTTTGAAGTTGCATTTTTTATACTTAATGTTTGTTAATATTTTATTGCTTTTTTATGAAAAAAACATTTTTTAATGTTTTTATTTTTAATATTTTTTTTTTTTTTCAGTAGCCTTTACTCCAGTCTTCAGTGTCACATGATTCTAAAGTAATACACACACACACACACGTATAATGCTTTAATGTGGCCATTTCATAGTCTTAAAACTTAAACTCACAACGCTTTTGGGAGTCACAATTTTCCCTCTTATTACAAAATGAACACAAGCCTTAGAAACCTCCACCGAGTGTGTCTAGAGGCGTCATCAACCTAGAAACTCATCGACGACGTTGATGGTTCCGGGCTTAATGACGAAACTATGAGGATAAATAGCTGAATTCAGTCGCTATAAAATAATTCGACATAATAATGTGGATCTGTGAAAATATCTTGCAACTCTCCAGTTGATCTGACTCATCCTGTAGCAAACTCTCTATCGTTAGTTTGACTTACGCTTCTGCATGAGCTCTAAATGAATAAATACATCTGGAAATAAATACATGTGGGAATAAATAAATATAAAAAATAAATAAATGCATATATACATTTAAACATAAATAAATACATACATAAATAAATAAATTAAATAAATGCGAGACTATGTAAAAAGTTCAAAAGAATAAAAATAAATGTAAAAATAAATACATATTATAATACATACAGGAAAAAGGTAATAAAAAATAAATTCTGAGTTAAATTGTATTACAAATGAACTATATTTGTTTTTATCAAGTCATTTATTTCTTTATTTATTTTCCTGTCATTTTATTTATTTATTTATCTATATATTTTTTTATTTCTGCAGGTTTGGTCCTCTATTTATTAAAATATTGGTGGGGCAAGTGAAAATTTTAACCACTGGCCCAGCAGAAAAATCCTTACCGTTGAGCCCTGTAAATTATGCCAACGGTCACTATAATCTACAACCATAAAAATGTTCCCAAAATAAAGTTGAAAGGAACGCTGTTCAGACAGCAACTGTCTTGAAGAATTGCTTGAAGAACTTCTGCATAAACACTGCTTAGACCTGATACACCATGTGGCGTAATCACACATTAAAACATTATATATACTGTACATTATTACCCACAGGAAGTAGACAAAGCCATGAAATAACTAACGCTTGGTGTTTAAATTAACAGTGGCTCATTTAAAACAATTACAGCAACTAAAGTTGACATTGTTGCTACATTGTACTTTACTAGTGTTTGTACTTTATTGCCAGTTGTTTGCTTTGGCATGGCACATAAGCTTCCCTTTTTGTCAATTTATCTATTTCTATCATGGCAAGTGTGATTACACTCTTAGTGCGTACACACAGCAAACTAATAACTAAACTTAGTCACTGAACACTATTATGAACTCTGTCTTTTATACTGGGAGTTTTGCACCACCTAATGGTAATAATAATGAATAGCAGGAAGTACTAACCTTGGTCCAGTGAGTCTGGTTTTCTCAGTGGGGCTTGATGACACTGAGGCACATGTGGAGTCCAGGCCATTCTGAACGGGTTCTGTAGTCTCGTGCTCTTGATCTGCAAACTTTTCATTCTTCTCTAGATCGTTCACAGAATCCATTACTTCAGGTTTGTCCATATCAATAGTGCTGTAATAGAATAGAGAAATTAACTCGGGTTATTAGTTAACTAACACTAAAACAATAAAAAAATAATTTTAAAAACATTTTTGTTACTTAAAATAAACGTTAACTGAAATACAATAAAATATAAAAACCTAAACTTATTTTAATTCACTTAGTTGCCAAAGTAAAATCTCTCATTTTCATTTAGATTATAAATAAAATAAAATAAAAAAAATATCCAAATAAAAAATTATTAAAAAACATAAAACTAAAACTATAATAGTATCTCGATGATAGTAAAATAACAGACATTAACATATGCCGTATGGACTAGGGGTCGGCAATATGACCAAAATTACAATAAGAGTCCGACCCGACTGCATTATTTTACAGCGACGTGTGCACAGCCTGCAGTAAAGAAAAATCCTGGTGTCCTGCTGACTGATTTGGCCGCTTCTACATTAATTTTATTTATTTAACATTCATTTAATTTATTGTTACTTTACATTAATGTCTCCCTGAAGCTGCCTTTCCACTATTTCCGACAAACGATCGACCGGAAGTCATTCATTTCCAATGGAGAGTAGTGCGGGAGCTGCGTGGACTTCCGATCATATGCGTATGCGGAAAATTCGGATCCGATTTGAGCTTCGGATGCGTTAAAATATTTGACCTTTTGCGGCTAGACCGTAAGGCGGCTTGCCACTGCACACGACATTCGGACACGACTGTCGCATTTCTCCCCCTAGTGGCAGTCGCACAGAACTTTCAAACTGGTCGTGCAGCAACCATCTCCATGCAAGATCTCGCCTCGTGGAGTATCAATGATCCTGAGAAAGGTGAGGGATCAGCCTAGAACTACACGGGAGGACCTGGTCAATGACCTGAAGAGAGCTGGGACCACAGTCTCACCGGTTACCATTAGTAACACACTACACCGTCATGGATTAAAATCCTGCCGCGCGCGCAAGGTCCCCCTGCTCAAGCCAGCACATGTCCAGGTCTGAAGTCTGAAGTTTGCCAAAGACCATCTGGATGATCCAGAAGAGGCATGGGAGAAGTTTCATGTGGTCAGATGAGACCAAAATAGAAGTTTTTGGTATAAACTCCACTCGCCGTGTTTGGAGGAAGAAGAAGGATGAGTACAATCCCAAGAACACCATCCCAACCGTGAAGCATGTTCTGTGTCACAAATAAAGTTAGTGAAGTTTACTTTAAAATTATACATATAATTTATCCAACTAACCAGTTTCTCAAGAGATACAGAGCTGATCTCTCTGAATTTTGTGTTTTTTTGTGGAATGCATGTAGAGACTGTTTTGCATATTTTTTTTTAATGTATGTATGCTCAATTTTTCTGAATTGATGTTGAATATTTATTTACTATGTTGAGTGGATCTAAAATTAATATAAGAAAAAGAGATGTTATATTTTATTTTGATAAAAAAGATATGGGATAAGTCACATTTTTATGCTAAATCTTCTAATATTATTAGGTAAGTTTTACATACACAAATGTAAATGGTCAGAAAGGAAGCCCAGTATCTCCCACTTCAAAGTTGATTTGAGGATTTATTTTGAAACTCTTCAAGGTCTCTCAAATCGGAAAACAACCAGAACTATGGACACGCTCAAATAACTAAACTCCTCTTTTCTATTGTGATTACTGATGTATACCCTCCTTATTATTTATTTATTTTTCTTTCCCTTTTCTTTTTTTTTTTTCTTCCAGAAAACGTGAACACCATGTTTGTAACCTTTTGTTATACTTTTGAATGTTAATTGTTCAGCATATACAATTAATAAAAAAAAGAAAATAAAAAAAAAGGCGGCTTAAGCGACCGCCCGACCGGATGTGATGTATTCTAATCAAAACTATGAGCGCGAGGTCAAAATTACCAATATTTTTCCACTTTAACATTATTATGTGAACACTATTTCTGTAAAATGTCACTTTAGAATAATTAAGGCAGAAATAATTATTTTATAATTATTAAATCATTATGTACATCAGGGCTGCTACTAACGACTATTTTTATCTCGATTAATCTATCGACTAATTTATCGATTAATCAATTTATCTAAACAATTTCCCACAAAAAAAACAACAATTTTACTTAAGAATATTTTATTAAACTATATTTTATTAAACCAAATGAAATCCAAATTTCTATGAAATCCTTTTTTCAAAGCAAAAGTAAAGTGCAACATAGAGTGCAAGAAGCAAGTGTACATCTCATAGTCCAAATCACTGAAATCTAAGTTCAGTATTATAGTGTAAGAATGACAACATATCCATGTGTTCTAGCTGTCTAACAGCTGGAAAAAGGCTGTGTTTGCAGATAGCATACGGCAATAGCATGGCAAGTCCAAACGCATGGCACGCACACGCGCTTTATTTCACGTCTTCTGAACTGTTGACAAAAAGCACCTTCTTACCCCCATTGTAAGGTTTGGAGGGGCAAGGACAATTTTTTATATAACTCCGACTGGATTCGTCTGAAAGAAGAAAGTCATATACACCTAGAATGCCTCTAGGGTGAGTACAGCACAGGCTAATTTTTCTTTTTGGGTGAACTAACCCTTTAATAAATGTACACCTTTGGATTGTTACTGAGGCATCTAGTAATTATGTGTCCAATTTGTAATTTACAACATATGGGTTCATTTTTTGCCTCAATTACCATCTATTAAGTTTTGAACAATACTACTCAGAATGTGGGGTTAAACATTTAACTGAACTGCTGAGTCAAAACAAGCCAGTTACTGGGTTTTTCCATATTTTACCAAGTGCTGGGTTGTATTTAACCCAACATTTTGTAGAGTGTGTATTTATAGTATATTTTCTGTACTTTAGTCATACTCCAGTCTACTTACATGTGTGGTGGTAGTGTTCTGCTGTCGGAGCTGCAGTGTTGATCTGTCCAAGCGTATACAGTACGGTATGTAAAGTGGGTAATGGAAGATTTGAAAGATTAAGTATTGTGTGTGTCAGAGCGCGTGGCCAATTGTAGCGCAAATAAAGCGCACACATGCTGGAGTTTGTGAGGCAGGTGTTTGTTTAAGAGCCAGATGTAGCATTTGAAAAGAACATGTTTTTTGTAGTTGTGTACGGTCAAAAGAAATGTGGTGTTTTCAGTGTGAGTGTGACCTCCTTATATCTATATCTTATAGTTTTAGGGCTGCCACTAACGACTATTTTTATTACGATTAATCTATCGACTAATTAATCGATTGATCTAAACGATTAATTTCCCACAAAAAAATCAACAATTTTACTTACGAATATTTTATTAAACCAAATGAAATCCAAATTTCTATGAAATCCTTTTTTTAAAGCAAAAGTAAAGTGCAACAAAGTGCAAGAAGCAGGTGTCCATCTCATAGTCCAAATCACTGAAATCAAAGTTCAGTATTATAGTGTAAGAATGACAACATATCCATGTGTTCTATTCTACTAATAATACAATTTTAATTAAAAAACACTTTTTAAAGGAGTATTTACCAGAAATGTTATTTACCAGAATTTATTTAGGAGAAAAATGTAAATGTGCAGTATTTCTGGAAAAAAAAAACTTTTTTAAAAATAAAATCAATTAATTTTAGATGCTTTTGATTATTAAAATTTAATGGAACCATTAAAATGGAATCCAGAAAATAATGGAAAACAGAATTTGGTAAAGATAAAACTGTAAAACTCAATTAATTAGACAGGCTTTTTGATTAAAGGGGTCATATGATGTTGCTAAAAAGAACATTATTGGGAAGTCGTGGCCTAATGGTTAGAGAGTCGGACTCGTAACCCAAAGGTTGCGGGTTCGAGTCTCGTACCGGCAGGGATTGTCGGTGGGGGGGGTGAATGTACAGCGCTCTCTCCCACCTTCAATACCACGACTGAGGTGCCCTTGAGCAAGGCACCGAACCCCCAACTGCTCCCTGGGCGCCGCAGCAAAAAATGGCTGCCCACTGCTCCGGGTGTGTGTTCACGGTGTGTGTGTGTTCGCTGCTGTGTGTGTGCACTTTGGATGGGATAAATGCAGAGCACTAATTCCGAGTGTGGGTCACCATACTATGTCACATGTCATGTCATTATTTTGTGTATTTGGTGTAATGAAATGTGTTTATGCGGTTTAAGGTTTCCACATACTGTACATTATTGTTTCTCCTCTATGCCCCGACTGAAACGCATCGGTTTTCACAAAGCTCATCGTTCTGAAAAGAGAGGTGTGCTTTGATTGGCCAGCTATCCAGTGCGTTGTGATTGGCCAAATACCTCAAGCGTGCGACGGAAATGTTACACCCCTTACCATATTGTGATGCTGTGTCCCGGCCGGAGCGACGAGACAAAAACATTAAAACCCATTATAAACGAGGCATTTGTTGCATCCAGTGGGGACATAAATACG